GCTTCATTCAAGTTGCAAAGAAGTAAAAATGTTAGTTGGTGAACCCTTTTTCCACGTTCTTTTATAGACGCAAAATCTTTTTCCCTGGCATACATCTGCTAATTTTATTTTTCATTAAATTAAAAAAAAACACCTTTCACAGTATCAACATTTAGCATCTTACCAGGTTTAAGATTTGGAGCAGATGGTATCTCATTCGCTTTTACAAATTTAACATTTCTAACGATGTAAAAATAATTCTTCTCGGGCTCCGTGTTGATAACCATCTTCGTCCTCGTCCTCAGAGTACTGAAGTTGTAGACCAACCAACCAAGAAGTTAACTATGGGAGGAGTCCTGCGCAAGAGCAAAACCGTCTTCCTCCAAGTGCTGGTGCATGTCGGTACAGAACTGAAAACGTCGGGTCTTGTCTTCATCGGTTATAGCCTGCAGTAACTGCAGAATTCGCCACAGGATTAGGTTGCGGTATGTCCACCTCTACACTCGCTCGGTTACTGGACTTACGGGGGCTGTGTTGAAACGACCCCCTCACACGATCCACCGTCTCTTCCGAAGGGCCTGGCGTTTTGCGATACACAGGCACGCGCCACGCAGAAATTTTTCATACCACTGCTTTATGCTGTTCCTCACCCGTGGGTCCTTCCCGAACTTGGTTCAAAAACGTCGCTGCACCATCACGATCGACTCTGTTCGAGCATACTCAAGCACGCAAAATGCCTTCAAAGTTACTAGCGTCGCCATTTCCACACCGACAACACCAAAGCCCACCACAGGCCACGATCCTGAGCCAACTCCATCCATCAATCCTCACAGTACACCTCCCTAAGATCCATCTTGATGTTATCCTCCTATCTCCTTCTTCGTCTGCCCAGTGGTCGTTTTCCAGAAGGATATCCCACCAAAATTTTGTGTGCACCCCTTGCATCCCTTATGCGTGCTCCATGTCCAGCCCATCAGAGCCTTCTAGATTTCACTATCATTATGTTAGGTGACCCGCACGATTCACGCAACTCCTTGTTGCACAGTATTCTAAATTCCCCCACTTATTCCATCCCCCCTAGATCCAAATATCTTCCTCAGCACACTGTTTTAAAACACTTGTAATGTACGTTCTTCCCTCAACGTAAGAGACCAGTGTTAGGATACTACCACAAATTAGACCACACTGACTGTCTTCCATATCCTTTCTAATTTATTATTTGTTAATTATCCAATCACTTGATGCTATAAAGTATGAGTTACTGACAGTTTCAATGACTAAATCTTTCTGAATTTACTGTCTCTGAAGTAAGATCGAACACCACATGATACACAAACTTTAATAGTATCGTGTAAAGGCATATTGATCTAGTCCCTTATGACGACCAGTATGTTAATTAGGGTATTTATGTGACCACACAAATCAAACAATGCATCATACAAGAAATAAAGTAACAATTTATTGAATCCACCACCACATGGTGCCTCACAAAATCAGTAATAAAATTGCACTCGCACAGCACAGTCTGTCTCGTGCAGTACTTACATCGCTGTAAATGTTTGAGGATAGCACCGAGAGCAGAACCATTGAACGTTGTAATTGGAAACCAACAGATGGAGAATGTGGAGCATTTCAAGTACTTGGGAAGCATAGTCACGACGGACGCCCTATGCACCAAGGAAGTAAAAGCAAGGATAGCCATGGC